TGGAGCACACCTTACAGCAATCTGAAATTGGTTTTTCAACCGTTCCTCTGGCCCATGGTGTCAAAGGCCTCCAAGCCGCCAGAACCGTGTCCTTCAACTCCCATTGGCATCGATCAGTTGACCAGCACCGGCAAAAGCGACAACGGCGAGCCTTGTACTTCTCCGGCAATTCCCAATCCATATCGTTCGGCACTGCAGGAGCATACTCAGACGGCTGGTTTGCCCGAGCACTCTTAACACTCCTCCCTGCTTCCGAGGACATGAGTATCAAATCTCTTTCTAAGTTGCTTACTGACACTTCTTTGTAGCCAAATGGCACTAGAATGCACCTCATGACTCATGACACTTGCACCCTTGCACCGCACTGTTGCACCCTTGCACCCCCCTCACTGCACCACTGCACCAACTGCACTGCACCAAAAAAGTTGCTACGAAAACAGCAAATCTTGCTATGAAAACCCTGTATATTGCTATGAAAATATGGTTTTGTGCTACGAAAAAGTGGTGCACTCTGTCTGGTGCACTGGTGCGCTGAAGAGGTACGCTGGTGCAGTCTCCCTGGTGCAGTGGTGCAGGCTCCCTAGTGCACCCACTACATACGACAGTACATATGATTCATAGATCCAAAAAGCTCAGCTCACCCAAGACAAACTTGTTTTTACTTCATCAGTCATGTCACATCTCACTACATATCCTCCCTCAAGACAAAGGCTTCAAATTGGGCCAAATGCTCATTGGCTTGATTCCGTTTGGAAAAGGCAAGCCCACTTTGCAACCATCGTAGAGCACCTGCCTTGAATATGAATGAATTGTTTGAAAATACAACAACATATCGTAACATATCCGAACTATTACTTCAAAACCAAACGGATTAGCCCTTACAAACAAAAAATAAGAACTTTTCAAATCCAACTTTCAAAATGTTTGCAAAGTCCCTGCCTGGAACGAGTTTGGCAAACGTTTCAATTGAATGATTCGCGAGCATTTGGCATGAAGTTTGCAAGCAATGGAAACGCTATGCCCAGGAGTGTCAATTTTAAACTCTGTCAGGCGTCCTGCTCCAAACAAAAACGGAGAAACTCTCAGTTTTACAACTTATGTCAAGTGGAAACACTTATCTTTTCAAAACCCATGTCCTATGGCTGCTGCGTACGACGAAGTGAACACATAGCCGTCCTTGTCTTGCCTCACAACGCAGCCAGACGCCTCATCAAAGACACGAAATTCAGCTTCAGTTGGATCTTCTGGTGTGTTAAATGCAGACTTCTTCCTCATTCTGATGGATGAGGATGATGCGGCTGATGCCACTGCTGGCGCTGGAGATCGGCTGGACGATGAAGCTGATGTGTTCACCGGAGGTACTGAGGCATGTGCATGTTCACCGGAGGATCTTGCTTCAATAGAACCATTCTCCTGATGCAAAATCACAAAAAGATAAAACCAATGCGACATATAATGTGTATTGATTGATGTATTATTTCAGTTTCAATGTCTAAACAAAGTACAAACAACTCGGAGCAACACAGCTGACATTGAGTCTTCAATTCCATCAATCCAAAGAAAACACAGAACGAATAACAAACCAAAATGAAAGTGAGCCAAGGTTCCAAGTCATGTGCATGATTCCATGCTGTCTGCAACTGCTCATCTTCATTTTCGATTGCATCAACATCGGCTTCATGATGCGCTTGCTGTCTCTTTCGCCTCTCTCCTGTCACTTCTGCATGCAACACCAAATTGATCGGTTTTTCCCTCTGTAAATAGCTAAATGTTGTTCATGTGTATGTGTTTGTGTGGGTGGGGTGTGATAGCACAAATGTTTTATTACTTTGATTCCATCATTCTGGCTTTTGGTTTGAAGTTTGACATGATTTTAATTTATACCACAAACGACTACCAACCACCAACCACAACCACACAACAAAGTGTGTCTCCTTTCGCCACACCAACTACTCGTACTGACGCTCTGGATTGCTTCTCTTCAGTTGCACGAGTTGGCTTGGAAACCATGCGACGAAAATGCCTCATGGACTGGTCACATTGATCCTCTTCATCGGACAGGCTATAGTCGTTGGTACCTGCTTGCAGCCACTGGTCTGACTGCTCGAGCGGTAGCTGAACTCGAATCAAAGACCATGTTTGCACCTCAGGAATCAAGAACACTGAGCGCAGAATGAAAAAATTAAAAACAAATTACTTTACTTCGTGTGATCCCCACCATGACATTTATACATGTTCTTACTGGCACATCTTCTGGCATTCTATCTGACATATCTTCTGACATTCTATTTGGCATTCTATCTGGCATATCTTCTGGCATTCTATCTGACATATCTTCTGACATTCTATTTGGCATTCTATCTGGCATATCTCCTGGCATATCTTCTGGCATTCTATCTGGCAAATCTTCTGGCATTCTATCTGGCATATCTTCTGGCTTTCTATCTGACATATCTTCTGGCATATCTTCTGGCTTTCTATCTGACATATCTTCTGGCATATATTCTGACATATCTTCTGGCATTCTATCTGGCAAATCTTCTGGCATTCTATCTGGCATATCTTCTGGCTTTCTATCTGACATATCTTCTGGCATATCTTCTGGCTTTCTATCTGACATATCTTCTGGCATATATTCTGACATATCTTCTGGCATTCTATCTGGCATTCTATCTGGCATTCTATCTGGCATATCTTCTGGAATATCTTCTGGCATATCTTCTGGCATTCTATCTGACATATCTTCTGACATTCTATTTGGCATTCTATCTGGCATATCTTCTGGCATATCTTCTGGCATTCTATCTGGCAAATCTTCTGGCATTCTATCTGGCATATCTTCTGGCACTCTATCTGACATATCTTCTGGCATTCTATCTGGCATATCTTCTGGCATATATTCTGATATATCTTCTGGCATTCTATCTGACATATCTTCTGGCATATATTCTGACATATCTTCTGGCATTCTATCTGGCATTCTATCTGGCATATCTTCTGGAATATCTTCTGGCATATCTATCTGGCATATCTTCTGGCATATTTTCTGGCATTCTACCTGGCAAATCTTCTGGCACTCTATCTGACATTTTATAGGTCCGGCAGGGAACACTGGGCGTGGATGGTCGTGGTTGAGGTCCGGCAGGGAACACTGGGCGTGGATGGTCGTGGTTGAGGTCCGGCAGGGAACACTGGGCGTGGATGGTCGTGGTTGAGGTCCGGCAGGGAACACTGGGCGTGGCTGGTCGTGGTTGAGGTCCGGCAGGGAACACTGGGCGTGCTGGTCGTGGTTGAGGTCCGGCAGGGAACACTGGGCGTGGGTGGTCGTGGTTGAGGTCCGGCAGAGAACACTGTGGATCGCGGGTCGCAGTTGAGCAAGGACGACGAGGACGACGAGGACGACAAGGACGACAAGGATGACAAGGAGGACGAGGAGGAGGAGGACGAGGCAGGAGGAGGCGGAGGAGGAGGAGCAGGAGGAGGAGGAGGAGGAGGAGCAGGAGGAGGAGGCAACTGACATAAAATCTAACAACCCTCACCTGGCAGGTGGGGAAAAACAACACACACACAAAATTACTTTACTTCGTGTGATCCCCACCATGACATTTATATATTTTGTTACTGACAAATCTTCTGGCATTCTATCTGACATATTTTCTGGCATTCGATCTGGCATTCTATCTGGCATATCTTCTGGCATTCTACCTGGCATATCTTCTGGCAGATGTTCTGGCATATCTTCTG